ATACCCTAAGGGGGTGGGGTGTTATCAATGACCTCCCCCACCCAGGAGACATTGAGAAGAGGGGAGGAGATGTTGCCTATGAACCCACGCCCAGGGATGCGGAGAGCATGGTATCAATAACCTCGATGCCACCAGACGGGAATGGGAAGGGGAGGGAGAAGGATGTGGAGGAAAGGATCCCGCCCTGAGGCGGGGCCCTTTACCTTGCTCCCTCCTAGCCGCCATTTTGCGTCGGGGGCTGGAGGCGCGCCTCACGACGGTCACAAAACCACCTTGTGAGCCAAAACCCATTCCGACATCCGAGCCTTTATATCACACGGTCCCAGAAAAATCAGAATTTCTCCCTAAACTTTCATCCGACTGACGTCGCGGGGCGTGTGCGATGTGATTGACACGGGAAGGAGCCAATCACGACTGCAGGATGAACCAATCCCCCGTGACGCAGTCTTATTATGCGCCAATCGCCGTAGGGAGGTCCGTTGGGCGAGGGGGCGGTACCCACGTGTTCTGACGGACGTGCCAGTTGGCCAATGGAAATGACGGATCGGGGAGGGCGGGCGGCAGTTCGGACCAATAGGAGTGTGCGGGCGGGCGGTACGCGGTGGGACCATTGGCGGTTGGGGGGCGGGAAAGGGGCGTCGTGGTGACCGAGGGTAAGATGATAGCGACCGGGCCGCTGAGAAAAACCCTGCTCTCAGCTGCTGTTTGCCTTTGTTGGAGAAGGTGAGCCGCAGTAACTGTGAAAAATCCAAGATTATTTGTCGATTGTTATGAGTTCTGAAGCAGAGTCGTAGGGATGTTTACTGGATTAAAAAAAAAGTGTTTGCTCTGACCCCACATAGTGGTGCTAAGGACCGGCTTAAGTTTCTCCAGCAATTTCTGTTGTTAGTCTGATGTGACCGTTAGGCCACTCACTGCCCACCAGAAGCGGGCTGTCGTTGTCAGCGAAGGGCCTTCCCTGACCATATTTCACTAGGGAGGCTCGGCCTGCCACCAGGAACCTGAGAAACACATTTTCTGGCGGTGGGCTTTCACATCTGTGAATCCCTAAGTGCATAACTTCCACAGACGTCGAGTACAAGAAAGAGGGGAGGGGGGTTAAAAAAAAACACGAGAAACTCCCTATGCCGGGCAGAGCATCCGCCAGCTTGTGGACGTGATGGGCCTGAAAAACACCAAATCCGGTGGGACTGGTAACACATCTAAACCTCACCCCCTCCTCCACTGCCGCCTTGGTTCCACCCGGAGTTGAATTCTGGCTGGAAAGGCCTGTGTGCAACTTTCTTGCCAGGCATCCTTCCAGCTGAGGTCTGCAAAATAGCCACACGTGACTGAAACGGACTCTTTTGGTGCTAGCCAGGCATACCAATCTGACCTAGTCCCGTTGGCTAGCATTTGGCCCATATCCCCCTTACACTAATCCTATTCACATATCCATTCAGATGCCTTTTAAATGTATTTGTACCCACCTCCACCTGTTCCTCTGGCAGCTGATTCCATAAACGCACCACCCTCTGCATGGAAAACTTGCCCCTTGGGTACTCTTTTAAATGTTTCCCCTCTCACCTTAAAGCTATGCTAGTTAATTTTGGACTCCCCTACCCTAGGTTTAAAAAAAATCCTTGGCTATTCACCCTATCCATGCACCTCATAATTTTATAAACCTCTATAAGAGTCACTCCTCAGCCTCCATTTCAGGGAAGAAATGCCCCAGACTATTCAGCCTTTCCCTACAGCTCAAACCCTCCAGTCCTGGCAACATCCACGCCCTCTCAAGTTTAACAATATCTTTTATCTCGAAGGGTGACCAGAATTGTATGTGGTATTCTTAAAGGCCTCAGCCTGCCACCATGTATATTAGCCCAGCTGTAAGTGGACCTGTGCTGTTACGACTGGATGAGGAGGAGCGAGTTGGCTTCCCACCCTATCCCTGTAACTGCCTGGACATTACGGACAATTTAGTATGGCCAATCTACTTTAGCTGCTCATCTCTGGATCACTCAGCTAAGTACCCTGCTCCTAATTTCTCCCCTTACCCTTTGATCCTTTTAGCAGTCAGAACTTTCCAATTAAAATGTGATTAAATGAGCAAATAATCAAGTTTTTCTTGAGTCAAGCAAAGCAAATTTGTGAACTGTTACCAGAGTAAAAGACTAATTTCTACATCGTGCATATAGGGTTCGTGCAGTCATGCAAGTATAAAATTAGATGGGAATAAGGTCCAAAGCAAAGGAGGTTAAAAATAATACCAAAACAAAAATTGCTGGAGAAATTCAGTAGCTCTGGCAGCATTTGTGGAGGGAAAACAAAGTTGACATTTCAGGTCCGGTGACCTTTCAAAACTGAAGAATGGTCACTGGATCTGAAATGGTAACTGTAATTTCTCGCCACAGATGCTGCCAGACCTGCTGAGTTTCTTCAGCAATTCTGTTTTTGTTTCAGATTTCCAACAGCTGCAGTTCATTGTTTTATTTTATGATAAAATAATATATCGTTTAGAGTTCTTTGGTTGTCTTTGAGCAGTAAGATTGCTTTGTTTCTTGTTGCAGTCATGGTGCTTTTTTATAAATTCACTCATGGGGTGTGGGCATCACTGACTTGACTAGCATTTGTTGCTCATCAGTAGTTTCCCTCGAGTAGGTGCTGTTGGGTCTCATTCTTAAATGGCTGCAATCCAGCTGTATATTACAGTTATTGAAGGTTCTTGATTTCTTACTGTGGATGTTTCTGTGCAAACCCATTGCTAACTGTTCAGAAGGAGAAAAGGAGACAGCAGCCTGACTTCAGTTGTCTTCCAAAAGAACTTGTGGAACTGCCTGGAAATATTTGTCCCAGTGTGTGCAGGTACTTTACTTTTGAAGTTCGCTGGTTTCATTTTGACATTGTTTTGTGTTTAGGTCCCATTTCTCTTTGGAAAAATCACAGTCTCCATTTTAAAGTAACAGGGACTATAAAGCGATTCTGGGTTTGTGCACACCTGTCAGCAACAAAGCTCCTGCTCCCCTGATGCTGCTTGGCCTGCTGTGTTCATCCAGCTCTACACCTTGTTATCTTTGATTTAGCTCATCTGTTCCTGTGAAAGATGATGTTTTGCCAATTCGAGGGAACATTGTACCATATAGGTTTTGTTGAAGATTTAATTTGAAGACTTCTTGAGTAGTTTCTTCTGCACAGAACAAATGGTACTACACAACCTTCTGCAGCAAGAAGCTTTATACTACAGATCGTAAACATGATTCTTATGGTGGCTGCTTTGTCCACTGTGCATGAGTCAGGAGCCATTTTTTTTTCTTTATTCATTTTAAGTCAGTGGGAGAACAAGTAAGGCAGAGAGCTATTTTAAAGAAAAACTGAAAGAACTGCAGATGCTGTAAATCAGGAACAAAAACAAAGTTGCTGGAAAAGCTCAGCAGGTCTGGCAGCATCTGTGAAGGAATAAACAGAGTTAACGTTTTGGGTCCGGTGATCCTTCCTCAGAACTGAAGCCACCGGACCTGACAGATTAACTCTGTTTTTTCCTTCATGGACGCTGCCAGACCTGCTGAGCATTTCCAGCAACTTTGTTTTTGTAGCTATTTTAAAGATACTTATTCCAGACTTGTGCAGCAATCCATAAATGCCCAACAATGCCCATAGTACTAAAATTACAGATGTGAAGAGATCATGAAGATCCAAATGCCTCAAAGTAAAACTAGCCGTTAAAAGGTGCCTCAAGCAGGAAAATGAGCTGCCAGAGTACTTTTAGCCCCTATGATAGTGAGAACAATTTGTGGCTGAGAAAATTGGACAAAGTGCACAGACTGTTGGTTGGGTGAGTTGGTTTCGAAGCAGCATTGTGGAGAATGTGGAAAGACTCTTGGCTTTCTGAATCAAAGTTCAAAACCAGTTGTAGATGTCTCTTAGGTTTTGGAGTGGATCTGTAGTTTGGGTTGTGGGTGTTGAGGTTGGTTGCCTTGCCGAACTGGTTTGTTGTTCTGCAGACGTTTCGTTACCGTGCTTGGTAACATCCTCAATGCAGCCTCTGATGAAGCATTGGTGTGTTTTCCCGCCTGGTTTTTAAACTCTTGGGTCCGTTGCAATGGATTGCCTCACTTCCGGGTTTCCTCCGTAGTG